CATTCCCACTGTTAGGCAAGCTAAGGATATAATGCTGTTTTCTGGGCATTGTTGGCAGCTTAGGAATAATGTATAATAACATTCTTAATTCTGGGATGTTAAAAGTATTTTTGTTTCTCGGGGCTGGGGCTGGGATAATCATTGAGATTATTAGTGATCAATCTTTGTTTTCCCATCTTATTCAGTTATATATTTTTGTTGGCCCTTCAAAAAGAAGATGGAACGGACATTTCACGCAAAGTACATCATACAGAAAGTTTTACCATTCCTTCAGAAGATGGATACGGCACAACGGAAAGAGCGTGATCTGGAGAAGAAGATTCAAGGTATTCATGTGAATCTTCTCTTCCTAATCGTTTGTTTTTATATTTTATTGTGCGCGTGTGTGTGGGTGCTGTGATGCTAGTCTACGTATGTTTTTACCGTGGCAGGAGTGTCAAAATGTTCAGATAATTGGTAGGTTTATACAACTAAAATCTCATCCATCAATTCATGCTATCTTTGATTGATAGTGACTTACCTTGTCCATGTTCATGCAGTTCTCTTTGTAGCATTTCGATAGCCGATTACCACAGGGGATGTACGACGTGTCCATACGTTCTATGCTTGTATTGTTGTAATGATCTAAGGGCAGGAAACATAAGACTCGGTGCTCATAGAATGCCCGTAAAGTATGTCGATTATGGTCTGGAATATCGACATGGGGTGTCAAAAATAGGAAAAGTTAGTGTCGGGGGTATTAAAGTGCTGAGACGTCATACGCTTATCGATAAGGACCCCGCTAACCATGTGGAGCCTTCATTAAGATGGGTCTGCGATGAAAACGGTGCTATCCCTTGTCCACCGGAAGATAGGGGCGGATGTGGTGAATCTACATTAGAGCTGAGGGGCTTATTTTGTGGTGATGCGATCTCAAAGCTGATTGAAGAAGCAAGAGAATATAATGAATTGCCCTCTTCTATTGAGAGTAATTCCTGCCCGAAAGTCTTTGAAGGTCCAAACGAGGAGTCGAGTAACCAATATTCGGTGTACTCCCCAAACTTTAAGCAAACTGAAGACATGACTCGCGAGGATCTAATGGATTTCCAGCAACATTGGTCAAAGGGCGAGCCGATAGTGGTACAAAAGGTGATCGACACTGATCCGGGGCTTAGTTGGGAACCTCAAGCTACGTGGGCTTCCTTATGCTACGTAAACAGACATCATAAAGAATTAAGAATGACTACAACTAATTGCTTGGATTTTAGCAAGGTTCGTTTGTTCTCTTCTTTACTTTTTCTGTTGAAGTTTGTTGATTTTACTACTTTTTAAATGTTTCTCGTACAAAATTCATAGTCCATACA